CTGTATTCGACCACCGATGTCTCCGAAGCATTGCTCGTGTCTGGTGGGAACATCGGGTAAGTAATGACGAGGTTCGTCGTCGTGTGTTGGGTGTGGAAAGTCGTTCTCTAAGAGAAGTAATCGCTCTGCATCGCCTCTGATGGCTTGGTCACGTTTTGCGCATACCTGCCCATTGACTACCTTTCCGTGATCTCTTTGCACGTGCCGGGCAAGGCTGGTAGAAGTACCGCGGTGGTCCGAACACGACATGGCGTAGAGGCATGAAGAAGCTGGCTTCGGTTGGTGCAACCCGCATTACATGTTGGGGCCCAAGGGATGAAGATTGTCGTTGGTTAAAGACGCTGAGAGATATGGCCCAGAATAGAAGTTAGTGGGGCGAATGCTGCACGGTCTACCTGTAGAAATCCTGTGCCCCGTAAATTAAAAAAACTTCAAAAGGTGTACGGTGAAACATACAAAAACTTTTCGATATTTCAGATATCTTCCATTTTTCCGTGTTTAACTGTTTCACCCCCTTTTCACCTTGTTCTGTACTCCAATCCACCTGTCCCCTTTCACTGTTATTGTTGCGTTGGCACCATGCTTGTATACAAGCCGGTGGTAAATATATATATATATATACCTTTATATGTATAACTTTACTTTACTACAGCTGGCTCCTTGGAAAGGATAAGCCGGCTCCATGAACGTCTCTGATTGCCGCCGTAGAAGGTATGATAATGAGTTTGGTACGAGAGACGTCCGTCCCCAGCGTCACTCGGTATTTTTTTTATTTTGAGGGCGCACCTGTAGCCTTTGTACAACCAAGTGAGAACTGCAAGGCAGTAGGAATTAATCCCTCGCCTCGCAAGTGAGGGATCAATGACTTCAGTTTTAAAAGGCTGCGACCTTTGTCACGACACCGTCATTGGGCTAATGCGGCTTTTAAACAGGAACCAGGTGACTAGCCTGAAACCCACCACACCCTGGTAGTGCCGCCGCTGTTTGTTCGCGACTGCTTATTTGTTGCGGTATGCTACAACTTATTCATAGCTAACCTTCTTCGGTGAAGGTATCCCCCTAACCACAACCCGGGGACGCGCCTGGTAGCAATCAACCCTGCTTAAACCGATGGTATCTTACCCGTAACGTGTATGAATGACCCAATGTAAATAGATCAGAGCTGTAAATGTGGCAGATTACCCCAGCTTATACAACATGCGCGTAGATACGAACCCCACGGAGGTTCCACTTTTTTGGCAACTGACTTACATCAATCGTAGAAAATCTGTCAAAATGAACCTAGGGAAGGACTGAATTTCAGTCTCGGTAAAGGAATCAGCTTACCTCCGTGTTTGTTGTTGTCAACGAATCACTTGATGCAACTGTTCTTTTCAAAGGTTGCGGCAACGGAAGCTGAGGCGGAGTCACAAGTGGCAAACTGAGTGGGGGAATGGAGTTACAAACTAGATCGATCCAGTCACGCAGTTCCGACGGAGCAGTATGGGACGAACAAACCCCGACCGCGATACACTGGAAGATGATGAAAGGGAGAGGGAAAACAATCAATTTAGTTGCAATTCATAGAATCGGTACCTTCTGTTCTGAATAACGTTTTGCTAATATCTATCGGTCAACTAAATAAAAAGCAAATGAGATAAAATCGAAGGCTGGGACTGACCTTAGGATGACGGGACTAAAATACATGTGGAAAGCGAACAGACTAATCACCGTTTATAGCACTATGTCACATTGTGATGGAAGGTGGTCCAAAAAGAGCCCCGGCTAGCGAACGAATCAAGCAAAAGGCCCATCCAACCAGATGCGCAGACGTAGCGGCTGGAGGTACTTCACGAGACAATG